ATAATTCTCACAGCACCTCTGCACCAATCCCCAGTTTCATAATGCTGATCAGCATTTGGCATACGGCTTCTGAACTTCCTATTTCATGGCCTCAATTAACGGAGGGCCCTTAACATCACTGCCCACAGCGATATTTGGTCATAGCCACACCTACGCATTGAAGTCGAAGTTTACGGTGAAATGACAGCTCTCTGGAAATTAAGGGAGAGTTTGTCAGTGGTACAGGAGGGGAGAAAAAACCAAGAAAACCAACCCGAAACCCGACAAATAACAAATCCTTTTGCCCGTTGATTAGGGCGCTAGGCGCGTCTCATCGTTGGTGAACTTATTACCGTTAACCCTTTCTCTGCTAGGTGGCTAGAGTCAGACGCGATGGAGTGGGCGGCCAGCGGCAATAGCGGCGCGGGGACGGCCATTCTAGCTTATCCTTCGCTGCGGTCGGTCCGCACTCTCAGAGGGGTCGCTTGCTTTCCACTAGGTTCGTCCCTCCCCCCTTCGTCCGATCGTGGAATCCGGTCGGAGGTCGAAGGGGAAACCCACGTAGTGAAAAGGCTAGTGGAAAGGCTTTAAGGGGAAGTTGGAGTAAAAAAAAACCTGAATTATAATTTCCAGGTAATCCATCAATTATTGATTAACGTTCCAAATGGACTGGAAATCTTATCTCAGCTTTTGGAAAATATCGACGAAGTATCGACTATTTGTCAGGTACTGGATTGAATTCTTTAGTTATTTTTTTCAGATAGCGTAACCAATTTGCATCGATCCAACCAACGACGACTTTTTTCAGGTCAATATAGTGATAGCAAAGAAGACAGAGAAAGAGATGTGGATGTTTGCTTCACTTTTGACAAGAATACTGAAGGAGACCACTCTTCTTCCTCTCGGTGCTCACACCTCTCAAGAAAAAAGTGTAACTCGGTAAGAACTCACGTATTTGCCTCTATTGGATTGCATTCTGGGCAAAAATAAGGTGTGGGTTTAGACATTGGGCGAGTGCACGCACAGTGGAGCCTTGGGCGTGGCCAAAATTGCTTTTGAAAAGAGCGCGTTTCCCAAAACTTAGGGAAACATGTAGCATGTAGCAGAAATCGGTGCTAATCGCAAGATACGGGGGCACAGTGGTGACAAGCTTTTCGAACCGCATAAGACATCAGTTTTTGTTGAAGTGGAACTCAGTCTGGGAGAGACTTTATGGTGCACGAGCCATTTTCATTTTTCCAAGAAATCCTGATTAGCCCTTAGGCTTCGTCTTAGAAGTACGCCCCGTATATTGCGATTAGCGCTCTTAGAAATCTGGTTTACCATTTGCATGGCGCCGTTTATGTATTCAAAGTGGGTTGCAGCTGTTTCTCGCCGCCAAAGCGGCTTCCAAAGTCAAATTTCGAGCACTGCTTCCCTCTTTTCCGTAGCTTTTTTTGAAAGTTTTCTTTGTGAGTGGAGTTATCACGTTTGTTATGAGGAAAGAGGGAGGCTACATTGCGCTCTGGGTATCTAAGGCCGGCGTTATCTCTAGCGTAGGTTCAAGAGCGGTCAAAAAACAGCTGCCGATTTGAGGTGATATAGGACCGGTTTGAGAGCACTCCGAATCGACATACCGCAATTCCAAATCCTGCGGTGTACTCCGGCGGAGGGCCTCGTGCGGCCACGGGTCTAGTAGCCACACACAGCGGAGGGCGCTAGGCGAGCTCGTCCACTTGACGTCTGGCGTCTCTGTCCCCTCTTGCCACGCGACGAGAAGCCATATCGACGTACCTCCTTTATTCACAATGGTCAGCGATCCAGCCACTCTATGGCGGCAGCACTACCTCGCTGCCTTCTCTACCTAGATCCTTAAAAAAAAACTCCTGCTCTCAGTCCAATATCGCTCCTATTATCCTTCATTTGAGGCTGTTGAGCCAGTTCTTATGAAGAAGATACGCATGAAATCGCATGAAAACTTTATCAAAACGCTATCCTTTGGCGTTATCAAGTTCCTTATCTTGGTCCTTACCATGAGAGCTTGATGGAGTCCTCCCCTCCCCTCCCCCGGCTCCCCAACTCCATTCTCAACCGAGTTTTTTGTATTTTTATTATGAAAAGCGGCCTGAGAGAAAAGGTGCACGTAGTTTCGGGGCGCGATGCTTCAAAGATCAAGCTTGAATGAAGAATAAAGAAATCTCACTTTCAGATTATTCCTGGGCAATACTTCGCCGAAATGCACCGATCTATTCTCCTTTATCGAGCCAGTAGTCATCGAATGAAGACCTCCTCTAATGAACGAGAACATCAAATAAATCATTCACTCTATGTTCTGCTATTAGTTGGACAATTGACCTTCAAGTTGTAAAAGATCTCGCTCGCTCAGGAGAGTCACTAAGGTTGATCGATAAACAAAGACAAGCCATGAATTTGCCATTCCACTGAAAGCGGCGAGTTGTTCAATGAATGTCTGTCGGCCAGATCCCTGAAGGTAGGACTGTGTTAGAGTCGGCTTGCATATCTTCTCAAGCAAGATTCGACCCGAGTTTTAATTTGCGTTGTCTAACCCAGGGGCAGCGGAAGGTTAAGCTGCCAAGGTAAGTCATGAACACCACAACTACAGGGGAGGGGCAAAAAAATCCTATAAATAAAGAAATGGGCGGAGTTTGCGCGGTGGGCGGGGTAGTCAGATGCGTAGCGGAATGGGAATGGATGGTGGACGAGTTGTAGTGGGGGGAAGGGGGCGGTTGGGGGTGTGATATATTACATAAAATGTGAAAAAATAACAACAAAAATGTGCTGTTCGGGGGTTGTGGGCGGAGTTTGCGCGGTGGGCGGAGTCTGAATATGGCTAATACGGGGGGTCCGTGAGCCAGGGGGTGTGCGTACCGTTTGTGTTTGTGTTTTGTGGTCGCCATCACAGTCGAGCTCAAGGAGACCTACCTTTATCGCTCCAGATCAAAGCACCTCCATGAATTCTTTAACCTTTTCTACTCCCTTTCAAAAAACAGGAAGAGCGTCAGGTGCAGACTGTACACCGCAATTGACGACCGCCTCAAAGTAAATCTGGTTAGTGGTGGTTCATAGTGATAGCTGATGCTTGGAGATAGTTGTAATTAGTGACAACTGATAAAATACATACAATGGTTCTCACACAGTGGTCAACCCCCCGTGTGAATGTTTTGGATGGTACCTTCCGAGCACAACTGCATGTAGCCAACTATGTAGGGTCAAGGATACCCCTTAACCCATAGAGAAGGGTAAGATAACGGGAAACTCAGTAGTGGGTAGTAACAAAGACACAGACAGTACTCCCACGTGGGGAGAGCAAAGGAGCTCGCCATTGAAAAAGCTCCTCAGCGCTATTCTTGACCCTGGTTCAAGTTCTGAACAAAACAAAAACTGAAAACGGCTCCGGATTCGAAAGTACTTCAGAATACCATGCGATAATCGGGTTTAGTTGTTCAGTTTTCACCTGAAATGCCCTATAATGATGCGGACAAGCGATAAGCTCTGTTGCCGAGATGCGCTCAGATAAACAGGTACCGATCGAACGTTTCATTGTTCGTCGACGCTAAGTACTCCAGACTACCGATCTTTTTCTTTTCTTAGAAACCCTCATCAACAGTTTTTCTCAGTAAAAGCATCTGTTTTTCGCAGCTGATCTCATCCTGATTTCCCCGGTTTTAATAAAAACGCGAACTGGTGTTCAAATAAAAAGGCCTCCTCGATATAAGCCACCATAAGCGATTTATTCCGCAATAGCCCTGACTCTTATGACGGCGGTTCTACTTCCTCAACGAGGTATTGTTATTTACTGTTATATCATGTCTTTTGTTTATTCTGGCGACATTTATTTAGCTTCTTGTACAGCTAGTTAAGTTCCATTCACGATGTGTATGAATTTTTGCAAAATTAATTAATTAATTAGAAGCGGCGTTGTTGCACTGGAAAACCACTTATAAGAATTATACAGGAGTTTGAAAAATATATCCATTCAAAAATTGGGGTGATAGGTAAGTAAGGACTCCCATAGCAATTCTGGAGCATACCCTTTTTAATAGCGAACGGTGGAGTGGACAGTAGTTCTTTTTTTTTGGAAATTCAGTAACCTCGTCCTAATTGAGTAATTTGATAAATTTGAACCTTTTTTGTTTTGGAGGATGAGTCACCCTATCATACTATTATATAAACCAGAGTTTGTTTGTCTGACCGCTCCCCAAAAATTCGCAAGTGTCCCCCACATGTTTATAATTCTTCCTTCAAAAATCACCTAGGGAGGGCGGGTCAAGTTTGGAATGGGTAGAGTATGAGTCGCTCTATAAGGGGAATATATTGGCCATGCTAAACTCCGCCTCCAGTGGGCGGGGCGTGCGTCGAAATGAAAAATTTCGGTGAAAAATTGATGTTTTTGCTTCCTGAACATCCCAAAGACTAGGAAAAAATAGGGTACACACCGCACTATAAGAAGACTATACTGGCCATGCGAAAATCCGCCCACACCAGACGGGGCATTCATCCAAATAGGCAATTTGTTGAAAAATCCGCTCTATGAACGAAATATACTTGCCACGAGAAAATCCGCCCACAGTAGGCGGGGTTTGCGCCCAAATGTGCGAAACTGGCAAAAAAAATCGTTCAATTCACTTCTCAGAGACCATGAAAAATGTTTCCAGTTGGACGCAGCCCCGCCCACTGGAGGCGGAGTTTCCCATGGCCAATATATTCCCCTTAAGAGCGACTCATACTCTACCCATTCCAAACTTGACCCGCCCTCCTTAGGTGATTTTTGAAGGAAGAATTATAAACATGTGGGGGACACTTGCGAATTTTTGGGGAGCGGTCAGACAAACAAACTCTGGTTTATATAATAGTATGATAGGTTTGCTTTAGTTTAATGAGGCGGGCGGGGTTTGTGGAATAGGCGGAGCTTGCGAGCAGAATGGG